AATATATTAGTAGTTGTTGATTTTGGAATGTTTTACATTGGATCCGACAGACGGCGCTACCATCGCAGTGTCAAATTTTCAAATTAAAGACGTGTAGACAGGACAACGTCTGTCGGGTCCGCTAGTAATCAATAAAGTTCATTTGTTTTCTTTTGTTATTCAAAATATTAGTATACTATTTGAAATATACGAACGCTAGCTCTAACTCATAATCTATTATCATTTCTGTTCAATTTAACTTCTTATAGTTGTACGTACTAAGGTCTGTTTTTGATTTATATTAATTTTATATATGGTCACTATATTTTGTATTAGCCCACAAACCCTTATGTTATATTTTACATTTATACTCATTGTAAGCGAAACTGTGTTTTTTATGAGTAAATAAAGATCTTTAAACCGAACTCGCGTATAAAGCAAAAAAGGACTCTGACCGAGCGTCAGAGGGACAATAGAAGACGTATAACAATTATCCGTCATCAAAAAAAAAAGAAAAAAAAACCGAACTCGCGACTGCATTCGCGAGGAATTAAAGAAACTAACTTCGTAGCATTTGTTTTCTTCCAGTGAAATGATTAAAAATCATCATTATGAATACTACGTAAAAAATAAAGTGGGGTTTTGGCATGTACTACAAGTGGACACCGAGGGGAGGGAGGGGTCGAAAAAAAAATAGGCGACGTAGTATGGGTATGTTCCCTAAGTTATTATTGGATCTTTGTGTAGGTAATTTAAGTACCACTCTATCTATTATGCGGTTCCAGAATCACACCAGCGAAACGACAGTTAGAGTAAATAACAAGTTTTCAACTAGATGGCGCTGATCTTAAATATTTTATGAGTTTAACATTCACTAATTCTGTATTCTCCACTTTCTACTAATCTCTCTTATATCTTGTATAATATCAAATGTAGAGTTCAAATTAATTCAAAGAGATTTTACGTGTTTGTCTATTTTCATAAATTTAAGGCCAGCAACGCATCTGCAGTTCCTCTGGTATTGCTGTTGTCCATGGGCGTCGAGGAGGGAGTGTTCCCGCTGCTCGTTTGCCCCCTTATTTTATAAAAAAAAGTCTTTTCACGGTCATCTTTTGACGGTCAATAAAATAATATCCATACATCGCCACACGCTAAATTATCTCACTAATATCAGAAATGCGAATATTTAGATGGATGGATGGATGGATGTTTGAAGGTTTCTCCGGAAAGGCTCAACGGATTTCTGAAATTTGGCATAAATGTAGAATATTGTCTGGAAGAACACATAGGCTACTAAAAAGGTTTTTTTTTATCCCGGACGGTGTCGCGGGCGACAGCTAGTATGTTATAATTATAAGTTTCACATGTGTTAGTCATAGTTTTTTACATTATGTCGACGTATGACTATCAAAGGCCAATGTCATGAATTATTAAACAAATATCGATCGCGTGACCTCGTAAAAACTATTGAACGGTGTTATAAATATGATTTGAAAAACATGCATACCTTAGCATACCATTTTTTTTTCTTTTTTAAAACATGAAACACGTACAAACCACAGTAAAGTAACCGTTGTTGATCATAGACAAATCTCTATTCCAGATAGAAATTAGAAAAACTTATTACCTGTACAAATAGTCTGTTAAATTTATTAATTTACTTTAGTGATATTTTTTGATAGAATTAAATAAAAATAGACAACGCAGGAAAAGTGCCTTCAGAAAAACTTATGAAAAAGAATCGACATTTTTTTTCAAATTATATTATGTACAATTGTTTAACAAATATTTCAAATCGACTCATCGTTAAAGGCACCAATGAATCATCATCATCTTCCGGGCTTTATAAGTCAAGTGGAGTCGGTGTTAACAGTGGTAGAGCCCGCTTTAACATCTTCGCACTAATTGTCCCGGCTCGCCCGGTGAAATACCACGACCACACAGAAGACAGGCG